GAACGGAGCCAAGGAGGAGATGCTTCAGGAGCCACATAGCTTTTGGTCACACCTTTCGTGACGGCCGCTTGTTGCATCTGGTCGGTGTATTTTAATACAGCAAAGATTTCACCAGCTGCTGTGCCCTGGCAGGAGAGAAGGCAAGAGCCCCTCAACATCCCTTGGTGCAGAGAGGGAGCGCTGCGCTGCCTGAGTCAGGAGAGCTGAGGAGGCTTTAATGCCTGGAATTTGCAGCATCCCTCTCCACCTCGCCGCCTCCACTCTTCCCTGTGAAAACCTTTTTCTGCAGCAGATGCTGTGTTCAGGAAGGGGAGTGAGGAGGGGGGAATCTAAATCACCCCCCAGCCTTGCCTGGTTGCTCCTGGTGACAGAGCCTGTTGCCATGGAGCTGAGATTCGGGTTGGCCGGCCTGGAAACCAATGAGCAAATTGTTTGGGAGAGCATCATCGTTTAACCTTGCGGGAGGCACTTACTCAGGGCTGTATGATGCTGATACTAAAGCCTTGTGAAACCCTCCGACGCTGGCAAAAGGCCCTTTCCCCTTTCCCCTTTTGTTGCTTTTAGTTCCCAGCAACTCCCTTGAGCCGGGCCGGCCCCGTTCATGTCCCAGCGCTAAGAACTGACTTTGAGTTTCCACCAGTGGGTTCTGTTCTGCCCGTCAGCGAGTCGCGAGCCTCGGGTCGTTTATTGCCGAGCCCTCGGAGCACCGGAATGCCGCTTAGCACGTGGTTGGATGTGTTTTGTTACCAAGTGTGCTTTCTTTGTATTTTATAGCCTGCCTCAGGGTGGAGAAAGCTGCTGTTTGAACTATGTCAGGGTTTCTTCTTGGCATCAGGGCGCTGCAGCCTTCTCTACACCAAAAACTCGGTTCCACTAACACTGATGACCTGGGCTGAGCCTAATAAGATTTTCAGTCTGCCCTGTTGAATGCTTTTCCGAGTGAGTCTTGGAAAGCAAAGAAGGAATTGGTTAATAACCAAGGAAGGAGATGGAGGGGAAGTGAGTCAAGATTCTTGTCTTCGAAGTAAATTGTGAAGCCTGGTCGAGAAGGCTGGAAGCGTGCAAGCTTGTTCCTGTGGTTACGGCTTGGACAGGGACCGGGAAGTTGGAGCCTGCTCACGCTTGTTTCCTCTCCCCCTGAAACCTGAGAGGTACCTGAACTTTCTTGCACGGTGGGACAAGCTACTCCAGACAGCTGCCCACGTGCACACTCCTGCGTCACAGTCGGACAGAGCTACAGCCAAGCAGCCGTGTGTCGCCTTTGCACCCTCCTTTGGCTCCCAGGAGCCTGCCTGTGCTCTGAGAACCAGGAGCAGAGTGTATTTAGGGGTAGGTACTGCTGGCTCCCTCCTAACTGTAAATGCAACAGTTTTTTGCCTTTATTCCCTGCCTAACCAGGACCAGCTGCTGCCTGCGGTGTCACGGCTTGGCAGCTGCAAACTGCCTGGAGCAAGAAGGCAGCAGAAGTGGAATTCAGCATTTGCCTTTGGGCCGAAGAGGAGGATGTAAATCCCTCCTGGCTACCCCTTCTCCTGCCCCTTGGCCGGCGTGCACAAGGTGTTCGTGTTGTCCCTGCCTTGACTGGCCTGTTTGCGTTGCCAGCCTACAGACCCCAACCAAAAAATCCACGGCAACTCATCCACCCTCTGGTCTTTTTTTTGTGACACAGATTTATTTATTTTTTTGTGGCTTCCCTAACGTTGCGTGGATGTCATCATCCTTTTATCTCCCTGGCACGGCACGGCTCAGTCGCACCAAGTCCTCTGAACTTTCTCTGCCAGCTGCGGTCTGTCACAGCGGATCGTGTCTGCCCAC